AAAATTTTTGAAGTTTAGAAGACCTTATTCGAAAAGTATTCACTTTCTCTGTTATTGACGGATATCCGAAAAATATTATGGACGAAAACTTGGACAATATGGAGGATTTTGTTTCTTTGAGTCAGTATCGTTTCTCGCCGAGAAATGGGCCGAGAATATCGGTATCGGTTTCGAGACCGAGAATGAAAAAACTGAGACCGATATTGGAAAAAAGCGAGAATCTCGGTATCGGTCTCGTCTTGATCAACTCTACTTAATACTCAAATATTAATTTATTGAAAATGAAATATTCGAGAATATTTCTTATCATAATGCGTCGTTCAAGCATCTTTTTATTTTTGTAAGTCAATTTGAATTGACTATTTCGTGCAAGCCAGTTCCCCGATATAATTATACAAATTACCCCACAGTAAACAAGTTGGCCTTCTTTACTCCTGTGTTGTTACTAATGTTTTCTTCAACTTTAAATTTAAGTTATCCAGAATTTTGTTAAATATCACAGTGATAACCTAAAGATTCCTTTGAATTTACATGAATAATAAGAACAAAGAGTGATTAAATTAATGATTATTGGTGTTGCTTCCATTAAAAATGAGAGGCTTTGCTGTTATTTTGTTGTATATTCTTTTTAAATTGGGTCTGAAATGTTTGAATTTAATTTTTAAATTTAATAAAATTATCAAAGGGATCAAAAAGCTAAAATAATATTTAAAAAATAAAATTTGGAGATAGACAACTTGGTTCAATTAAGTTAAACGAATATTGTTCTCTTGGGCATGTAGGGGAATGGCTTTTAATCTATAATCTTTAACAAACAAAAAATTTTTGCCTGAGCGTTGCTCGGCATCCAAAAATTTAAATTCAAGCCTGAGTCAAAAAATGACTTTTGCGAAGAAATAAGTAAAATTACGTAGAAAATAGCACGAAATCATATAAAAAAGAGAAATGTCGTCAACAAATATTAAAGTAAACACCGCTTATTCATCTCACAGAGAAGATTACATAATAAAAAAGTGCAAACTTAATACATTTTTATTTATGACTGTCACATTTTTTTTCAATACTCATGTTTTTATTTAAAATCAAGGCCGGACTTTACATTAAGGCATGTTTAGTTAAAAAGAAAGCATATGAGAGCTATTTCGAAATATCGATTTTAGGACTTTCTCAAAAAGATTTTTGAATTTAAAAATAAAAATTAAAATGTATATTTTCGTTCACCTTCCTATTTCTGAAATTTTTTGGTTCTATAAAACTTTAATAAACATCAATAATAAAATTTAATTTTACGAAAATACCATTGAAAGTTAATTTTATCTATCATGAAAGCCGTGAAATTGTCGGAAGCATTAAAGGAAATTTTTAAAAATTTAACTTTCCCAAATAAGAAGTAAGAATAATTTTTTATAAAAATAAAAGTGCAACTTACTATTCAGCAATTTTAAAAAACAAAATTTACAAAATTGGCGGTATAAAACAATTACATAAAGTAAATTTCGAAATTTGCACTTTTATACATATTTCTTAATTTTTTATCTATAAAATCGAACGAATCCGTAGACCGGACAGGATTGTTCAGAAAAATCATTAAGTTCTTGTCCGACATGAGTGTAAAATCAAAAATCCGTTTTCAGGAACAGTAAATATGAATTTTTAACACAACTAAAAACATCCATAACCCTAACAACAGCCCAACCACCTAAGTTACCCTGTTTACACTCCTCTATTTAGCTGTCAGATTTATTAATGGAATTTAATTTTTGTTATTAATTTTTCATTTTTTTAAATCAAACAAAAAAGTAAAATTTAGTAAATAAATTTTAGAAAATCACATAATAATATGATTAAAAGAAGTCACACTCTTAATTAGACATGTGAAGACAGTAAATAATTAATATTTTCGCGTGATTTACTTCTCCCTCTCTAATAGCCCTTGCCAAGATAGGCTCTCTCCGTCTCTCTTTTAAATTAAAAATTACACGCCTACCTTAAAATTTTCCCTCCACTCCTCTCTTCAGCCAATCGCTAGTCACTTAAGCCCTCCTCCTAACCTGGCTTTATAAATCGCTCCTCCACTCACCAAATGCCTCATTTTATTAAATATATTCAAAGTAAAATTTTATAAAAATAATATTTTGTTTTTTTAATATTGTAGAATGCCCGTATATCTTTTGCCTTTGTAAGATATGACTGATTTTAATTAATTGATGTAAACCATATTACATTTATTTTAAATTATAGGGATGAATTTAAAATTTACTTTATTATTCGTCCTTTATTTTGTCGGAATTTATTGCCGTCATGATGTTAATGTTAAAGCGCCAACCCGAGAAGCTATAGTTCCAAATGGTAACGCAAGCAAGGTTGATAAAAACAATGAAAATGATAAAATAAATGCTGATGAATTGAACGAAAAGTTTAAAATAGTTGAGGAGAAATTTGGAAAAGTTGGCCATGTAATATAATTTTTAAATTAATCTAAGGGATAGCTTATAATCGGCTACTGTCATAAATTACATAAAATGTCTAATAAAATATTTCTAGAAGAATGGAGCGCAAAACACAAACATTAATAAATTGTTTGGTTATGTCAAAAACTTGATTAATGGAAATGTTGAAAATATGAATGAACAGCTCTCTGCTGTTAATGATGCGGCATTCGCACTTTACCAGCCAGTTGAGCAAAAATTCAAAGGAGTTGAACCTATTTCTGAAGATAAGTTAAGCAATAAAACTTTTTTGACTCATATTCTTGACAATCTTTTGAAAAGTGTAGAAAATGGATGTAAGGCTGATGAGAAAACAATGGCAACTGCAATTTCAATTTGGAAATATTTTATTTTTAAATTTGAAATTCAATCAAATACTGAATGCAACCGTGATATGAATACTAACGAAATGAAGAAACGTAAATAAATTTTAATTTGTGGGATCTTTTGAATTTCTTAATAAACGCTAGAAAATATTAAATTTTCCAGCGTAGAATATTTTTTGTCCAATTTTTGTCCAAATCTTTTTCTGCTTATACTAAACATTCTTATAATTACTAAACTGATTTTACCACGAGTGTAACAAAAAACCCAAAATCGTGGGATTAGCTTACCATTAATAGCAGTTTTGCTTATTCTATAATGTGCCATGCACTACATATTTAAATATGTACATATGAGAGTTTAATTTTTCTTTATAGACCGTCTTCATAAAAAGCAAACACAAATTCGACGTAAACGCGCTTCTGGTGGTTGCGCTTACTTTGCTCCAATTTGGATTCTTTGGGTCGTTGCAATCATTGTCATTTTAGTTGTTATTTGCATACTGTTAAAATTTGGTGTATTACACTAAATGACAGCTTGAAAATCGCGAAAGTAAGTTCCTTTCCTTCATTTTGTCAAAATTTGAAGCAATCGGACTTGCAGTTATTTCAATCACATGTTGCGGTCCGCAATGTTTTATTATTAGATAGGGTCCCTCTATCGTATTATTTCTGATTGCACGGTCAGCTCTAGTTGAAGGTTATTTAATTCACGGTCTCATGAGATGAGAGAGAATTTTATACGGCTGACCGCTCAATTAGAGGAAACAATTCATTTCTCTGTCCTTCTATCTATTTATTAAATATTGTAGCTAAAATGCCTGGAATTTTACAAACAATATTTTTTTAGAAACTCGGAAATTTTAACTGTTTAAGGAAAGTTTGCATCGAGATATAGAATTCGGTCTAATAAGTTTACGCATTAATTTTGGGTTCCTACCGTTTAAAAATTTTCGTATAGTAGTTTCTTAAATTCATCTTTGTTGATTCCAAGTATTTGCAACTTTTTATCAAAATTATAGATAATTTTTACCTCTTTTTCGGCATATTGTAGTTACCTTTGCGGTTCCGGTATTAAAAAGAAAATTTCACAAATTTTCGATTCAAAAATCGGTTTAGATTTTTTATAGCAGGTGATTGTCCCGAACCCGATCATATTTTTATTTGTAGAAATTTTGCATATTTATTATATGCATTCAGTCCAACATTTACAAAAAAGTACATATATACATACTATATATTTTCTGATATGAAAGTTTACTCAATTTGAATTACTCGGATAATGCTCAAATGTTGGGCTTATCATTTGTTGATATATTTTGTCATTTTTTGTTGGATTAATTTCGGATTCCTACCTATAAGATATACTCTTTGTATGAAACATTGTAGCTTATAATTAGGAGTACATTAAATTGTCATTAAAACCTAGGTATAGCTCAAAGCAAAATAAGATCTTATGTTAAAATCAATCTAAAATTTAATTATACCTAAAAGAGTGTATCTTATATCGAGGATTTGCATATTTAATTATATATACCGTATATGTCAAATACAAATTGGAGGATTTTAGTAATTACAAACTTAGTACACACAGGTTATTTATTGACTCATCCATATACATATAGATTGAAACAATACTTACGATGTAATTTTTGGACATATACGGTAATTGAAAATCTTTGCTGTTTTCTTGATTTTTTGGGTGTTTAAATGATTTTTATTTTTTAACTAGATAAATTGATTTTAGAGTTATTTTAAAATTTCATTGATTCTTTATTTGTTTTGAATCAAGACACAACGGATTGGTTTTGTAAGATTAATTATTAAATCGGACAGTCCTAATTTATACTTTTAAGCTATACCAGACCAAGATTTTTAGATATTTATGAAATTTTTAACAGCAAATAAATTTCACAAAATTTTAACTTGTTAATTTAAATCTAATTATATAATTGAGAAGAGTTTGTCCGTCTGTCTGTCTGTCCTTTTATAGACTAGTGGGCTTTTATAGTAAAATGTTTTGGGGGAGTGAGGAAATGGGGGCTTTTATAGTAAAGCTATGCCAGTTAAATTAGGGTGTGAGGGTAAGAAGATAGTATAAAAGCAGGGTATTTTGGTCATTCTTCAACTGCTTTCAACACTTCTCAACATTCCTCTTCGCTAGCCCGCTCTTTTAGCTCCTATTGCAATGAAGCTTTCTACCTGTAATGAGTTGGAAGTACAGCCGCCAGGAACTTTTATGGGGTGAGTTTTTTGATGTCCTTTGAAATGAAAAATACTTTTAGGCATTGTTGTGGGATTGTGGCTAAGGTTTGTAAATCAAAAGCAAAAACTACAGTTTTAATGAAATGCAGCACTGGTCAGATTTTTGTGGTCACTGCTTTTGCAACTGTAGTTGGGAAGTATGGTGTTTTTGTAGAGCTGTGTCAGGAAGGAAGTGTGAGTCTAACAATCAGAAGTTTTATTTTTCGATTTAGGTCGTCGATTTAAATTTGTTAAAGATACAAGCGTTTGATGTAAAGCGCTTTGATGGGAAAAAGATTTACAGTACATTTTTGGATTATGAATTTGTTGTCACGTCGGCAACGATTATTAAATCTCAAGGAATTCCAGTCAAAAAAGTTGCGACGTTTAAAGAAATGGATTCAGGAGAGACTTATAGTTAGTTATGCGATAGTTCAAGTTAAATTATTACTTTTAGGTTTTAATTGTGTGCTGGCCTCTACTTTTTTTAATATTGAAGATAATTTCTGTGCAATTATTGCGGATGTGACAACAAGCGGGCAGATCTTAATGTGTTAGGGAATAAAGAAAAGACAAATTCATCGAGTTTGCACCTGGTGAGGAGATTGGAATCAAAAAAGGCTTTGTTGTGATTGAAGGTAAAGTTAATTTAACTAATTACTTTTCCTATATATTTTTTTAAATTTAGATCAATGCCTGCATGTAAAAGTTCAAGTTGATGATATGGAATTCATGAATAATAAGAAACCAGTTTCACAACTCCTCACAACGCCAGTTAAACATAAGAAGGATACAGTGAAAAAAGATTAATGTTTTGTGATATCCAAATGATAATTAGTAAGTTAATGTAATATTGTATTTTGAAATTGTTCTTTTTAATAGGAATTGTTTGCTTATTGATTAAACTTAGCCCATTGTTTTAAGAAAGGGTTATGGTAATGAAAAATAAGAAAGGGCTATGATAACAAAATCATGCTTTAATGTTTTCTCTTAGTAGCCCGATAATTTTCATATATGAGTAAATCGCTTTAGATGTTTTGATAGTTGTTTAAGAAAGGAAAGAATTCATCTAAGAGGTTGAGAGGATTTTGATTTGCTTTGCTAGCGAGTGGGGCGGCCGAAGGCCGCCCCACTCGCTAGTTATTAGAAATGTTCGTAATTTCAGCAATCATAATAATCCCAGTAATAAAATCCCCCTTATCTGTCTGAATTACAAGGAGCATAATAAATAGAGTTCGACCCTGGGCCGGGCCCGAAACCGTGTTTTCCGGGCCCTGCAGCCTGGAAACCGGGTATTTTGATAAAATCTGGTTTTAGGGATTTCCGGGACTCCGGTGTTTTTCGCCCGGAATATTTCAGGGTTTTTAGCCCGGAAGATTTCGGGGGTTTAGCCCGGCCCGGGTCGATTCTGAACAACCCGAGCCCAACCCGTGTCTAAGTTTGAGTAAATTTTAAAAAATTCTGACTTTTTAGCCATAACTAGCTCATTAATCATCCAAAAACTAAAAATTTTCGTCGGCGGCGCTAATTAAGAAATTATTTCGTAAATAATCTTATATTTATTAACTTTTGCCCAGCGAGATCAGTATTCTTGTCTATCTACTACAGCAACTTATAATAGTAAGAGAGTGCAACTTGCCTTTCAGTGCGGAAGTATGGCTTAGTTGTTTAGTGCGTTCACTGTACAACGAAAAATGCAAGTTTCCTTACTTAGCTCTCATAAAGTTTTTTTCGAAAAATTCTCACCATTTTTGCTGAATGGTAGCGTGGGCCGAGTTACAAGCCCCCAAACTTAAGGTGTCCGTTTTTTTACAAATGTGTTCTTCTTTGGTGCAGTGATAGCGTTCTTGCAGTATCTTTTTCCAAAGGTTCGAATACTGATAGGGGAAGATTAACCTGAAAAAGGAGATTTGGCTTTACAAAACACGGCCTTTCCCATTTGGCCTTCAGAAATTCACAAAATTTTCGCATGCGGCGCCAAAAAAGCAAAAGATTTGGCACATTGGCCTTCAAAAAATCTTAAAGTAAAAAACTGGGGCCTATCTCAATTGTCCTTATATTCTGCATTCTGTGTACAGAACACAGAATCTGCGGAAATTATGTTTCAATAAATTTCTGAGTACACAGATCTGCGGTGACCGTAAACCACACTTTAACTCATATATCACTTAATCGCCGACAAATTTATGGTTCTGTATCGGTCGGTTCTGTTTCCCTACTTAAAATACAAATTTTTAAAAATTTGCTAGCAAAATTTTTTTAAAGTTCTGGTTCCAATTCCGTGTACCGGAACTCAAATTGGATCCGGTTCCGGTATAGATTGTTATCTAATAGATTTAAATCAATACGATTTAGCAGTAGAGTTAACAGTAAGCAACTTTTTATTTGAGGTCACAAAAATTAGTTAATATCGACCCTTCTGAGCTTTATAAATGTTATCCTTCATAAATCCTTCTCTTTTTGTTATCCTTCATAAATCCTTCTTTTTGTTATCATTCTTTTTGATTTTTATTTGGGTTCTTCTTTATTCTTTGTTGCTTCATGTAACAGGCATGACATATATATTGTTTAGGTTTTGAATGACGATACCACTTTGATGTTTTTGATTCTCCGCAAGTAAGACATTTTCGATCTTTTGTGATTCGCTAAAATATTTATAGAAATTGGGGTAAAAACTAGTTTCAGATAAAATTTTTAAAAGATATTTTTCTAATTTTGTCGAACTTATTATGCTCTATTTGTCTAAGTTCCCATCTCCTCAATAAGATTCTGCAGGATTACCTAATAATGTATTTAAATGCTCGAAACATTTAAACCTACCAATATTTTTTATGAAAACATTGTTAATTATATAAATTTAAACCATTTTAGTTTGATAAAAATTTCCTTCAGGTTTCATTTTGCCTTTATTCTATACTTGTGACATGGATTGCACAAATAATGTTCTTTTAGGTAAATATACCAATTTTTGGTAATTGTAAATTTACAATTGAAACAGTTTCGTTTATTTCCTTCAATTATTCTACCTACATATAATAATAAAGACTAATATGTATATAAATAAGAAAATAAATAATTAAAAAATATAAACAAATAAAAAATTTAAAAAACTATTTACTTATTTTATTCCCGATGTAAATAATTCTATTTTTTAATTCTTTTGAATATTTAACTTTTTGTTTTTCTAATAATTCAATTTTATAACCAATTAAATTAATTTCCGTCCAATAACTTGATAAAAGTTTGTTTTTGTAATTTTCTATATTATCTTTTAATAATTCATTTTTATTAACTTTTAATTTATTAAAATTTTCGCCGTTTACTGAAGTTTCGTAATAATTGCTCTTTTCAACAAAATTATTATTTTTTAAGACCTTTAATTCATGAAAAAAATAGAATCTAATTAAGTATTATCTAATAAAGAATACCCGTTTTTCAATTCTTTGTAAAATATTTTGAATAATTTTACTATTGGCAATATTAATCAAGATTTTCCTTTTTAATACAACTGTATATTCAGATCTAACATCTAGTTCAACATTAAAAATATTTCCTTCAAGGTTTAGGGCAATTCGATGTAAGGATCCTTCTATATTATAACAATAGCTAATATCATGTTGATTATTTCTCTTTATAACTTTTTCCAATACAAATCTCTTTTTTATGATAACATTTTCTAAATAATTAAATTCCCTTTTTTCTCCCCAATCATCTTTTATTCTAACTCCAACTCTAACCGATTTTCCATTGCATGTAATATCAAACAGAATAATTAAGAGAATAATAATAAGTTTAATCATCTGAAATTGTGACAATTTCAAAAATTTTTTATTTTATTATGCCGATTATGATTTTAAGTTTACAAAAAAGTCTTATTTATGTTAATGACATTGAATGACTCCACATTAAATAAGGTACAAAATGGTACAGACTATTCATAGCATTTGAGTGCATTTCATTAGAGTGATTATATGCACTCTAATCTTTATAAAGTGTAAGCATAATGTCTTTATGAAAAAATCTTTTAAGAATTAAATGAAATATGTACATGTTAACATAAACGAACAGATTTGAACAAAACCATTTACGTCAATTTAAAGCTTCTATCATAATGATTTTATTTAGTATCTTGAATTTTTCAAAATAATGTAATAGTGAGGACTAGGTCACCATTTCCAAGCCGCCAAAGAGGGGCATGGCTTTTAAAAAAGTTGGTCCCATGGAATCAGGGTTAGGGTTGCCGTTTTCGGTTCGAGCCGACGTTCGGTGCATTTTTTTCGAGCTAGAGTTTTTTCGATTCGGTTCGTTTTCGAGCTGTTCGAGTTCGGATTTTTTCGATTCGGTTCGTTTTCGAGTTTTTCGAGCTGTGTTTTTTTCGATTCGGTTCGTTTTCGAGTTTTTCGAGTTTGGTTTTTTTCGAGCGAGCTTTTCGAGCTAAGATTTTTTCGAGCGGGTCGAGTTTTTCGAGTCTTTTTTCAAAAAAATTTTTATTCAATCATCATCTTAATAATTTGGACATCTTTAATAATTTGGACAATTTAGTTTTAACAAAAAAGAAATGTTCCACGCGGCGCAGGCGAAAATTTTGTAAGGTTATTGATCCAGATTTCTTCCTTTATCAGCGCCGCAGGCAAAAATTTTGAGAATTTCTGAAGTCTAAGGGTGCAAATTTCACTTTTTTGCAGGCCATCACCACCTTCATTATCATAAAAATCATTTGACCACATTTATTTTACTATTTAACTTTATTTTCTCCGGAAATTTTTGTGAAAGCTGTTTGCTATTTTCCATAAAAATAATCGAAAAGAAACTATAGAAAGCAAACTAGAGAAAAGGGTAATAGTAGAGAGAGAAAAGATGAATAACTTTTAACAAATTGAAATTACAAAATTAACTCAAATTTTGACAAGGTTCTTTCGAGTCTCGAGTCGAGCCGAAATTTATCGGTACATTTTTTTCGAGCCTGGGTTTTTTCGATTCGGTTCGTTTTCGAGTTTTTCGAGCTGGGGTTTTTTCGATTCGGTTCGTTTTCGAGTTTTTCGAGCTGGGTTTTTTTCGATTCTGTTCGTTTTCGAGTTTTTCGACCTGAAAAGCGTCGGCTCGCTCGATCTTTCGAGTTTCGGGTCGAGCGAGCCGGGAACCCTAATCAGGGTGGATCGCTGCCAAAGGGGATTTGGAGTTGAGCGAGTAATTGGCGAAGCGTTCCAAAAGCCGGCCGGTCCTGGACTCAAAAATTTAATTGAACT